TGAGAGTCTTCAGATGTTAACTGGAATGTCTAATGGAAGTCTTTCTATCCTGGGCCAAAGCCCCCTATTACATATACCTCTCATATACCACCCATGCTTTCCTTCCTAACACATCACTTAGAATGTGGCATTACTCGGGGGGACTATTGATTGATGTGCTGTCAATTACAGCAAATCTTTAGGCAAAAAGACTGGTTATGCTCTTTACTCGCCACAATGTCCTTCCTGCCTGGTGTAACTCCAGGCACCTGGCAAAGCCGCAATTGTCCTGAAGAAGAATTACCTCAAAACCCACATCACTATTAGAAAGCTAGTATACAATTTGGCAATACTACCCATCCATAAAATGTCCAATGAATATAGTAATATTCAATAAATACTCTCAGCAATAGAAAAGAAGCCAGAAACCTCTGTAGTATATGTACCATTCATGTAACTATCCAAATATATCACATCAGCCTAGCCTTGCAGACACGAGGTCAAAACTGTTTAGGAAACACAAGAACCATTGGTTCTTACTGATTTGAAAGTGATAAAATGTCAGCTTCCTTGCTCTGAGTTGTGTAGAAATTTCAATTTTACTTCAACTGGGAAATTATTAAGATTTAATAGCCCACAGAAGATCCAAAGCATTAACTAACTCTGTTTTCCACATTACCAAAAGCATTTCCGTTTCCACACACCCTTTTGCTGTCCTGGCTTCAGGGCAAAGATTCTCAATCAGAGAAGATATTAGTCTATTGGATCGACTCAGTCACACAGTAAATGGTCCCACAAATCCCGCTGGATTTCATAGAATGTCCTCATTGTAGATGTTTCTATGAAGGATGTTAATCCTGCTAGATTAACAGAAGCTTCCTGCCATGTATTATTTATAAGAGGCCTACCGTTTTAAATTTTCTCAGTAGGTCTATTCAACTTAGAAATCGAAGAAGCCTGAGTTTATTTGGAGGCGATTAATTGCTGAGTTTTCTGAGCATAATTAAATGTCAAAATTCCATCAAACGTTATAGAAATCATTTCAAATACACATTAATGCCATAAAACCCACACAAGCACTGCTCACGCAGTGAGACTGGAAGGGCATCATTGCAAAAGAGAAACAGAAACAGAGGGATCGAGCAGATGAGAGGGAGAGGACCCGAGGGGCTCGCCTCCTCACCTGGGCCCCCAGGTCATTGTAGAGGACTTTCAGGGATGTCAGCCGCTCGTCCATCTCCTGGGGGTTATCAATCTGCTGCTTCTGGACAATGTGCCTTCCTGTTTTGATGACAGTCTCCACTTCCAGCTTGACTTCACTCAAAGTTTTGTAGAGTTTCTTCAAATGAAACAGGGAAAAATACAGCTTATCATTAAACTCACTAAGACTGTTACTGATAAGTGGATGACTGCTCACGGCGAAGCCGCGTAAGGCACAGAAGAACCGAGATGCACAGTTTCAGTGGCTGACTTCCGACAAAGGAGGATTACCCAGCCTCCCTTCCAAGACGCTTCCCGGGGAAGTCGACAGCCAGCCATTCAGTTAGCAGCCAGTCAGGTGCCCCCTTCCACCACCCAGGGATTGGTAAACTGCCACCTGCAAGCCTTCCAGACTAGAGCTTTTACTGACGGTCGGCAAAGAACGAACTACGGAAACAGAAGAGCATCGTTTCTCTCAGATTTGCTTCAAATGCCGAATAAAGTGAAAACGAGGTCACAATACATTTTTGAAATCAGGTAAGAGAATTAACTAATAGGATCGTGCTTCCTTTTTTATGTAGTGATTACGAGATGGACTGTGATCCCATGGTTGGCAGTTCAAAACCACCAGCAGCTAGTCTCATAACCCCACTGGGGATCACCATGAGCCGGCATTGATTTGATGGCAGTGAGTTTGGGTGGTTTTTTTGTTTTTTAAGTTTCCTTTTTAAAAAAAACTTGGAATTGTGTTTTCAATGCTATAAATGTACTTCATGATAAAAAAAGTTTTTTCCTACCTTAGGTGGGAAAATATTAGTCCTAAAATGTAATGCTCACCATGTTTGATTTTATTTTTTTAATTCTAAATGCAAGAAAGGGAAGAAAAAGCCAGCACTGACTGTTTCTGGCTATTGGACCTCTGTGTTATTAATATTTATTCCTCTATTATTTTTCTCTGAAGTAGCAAACCTACCACCATCAGCATGTCTCAGTTATATAGGAAACACATAAAGCCTAAGACACAGCAGGAAGGATGCAGGATGCTAAGAAATCAGGATTCTTAGGTCAGCGTCAGAGTCGTTCATTTACCAGCTGGTACCACTTCACCTTACAGCAACCCTGGAGAGCAGGGCCGCCCGCAGGGTGTCCAAGGCTGTCCGTGACACAGAAGGACAGTGCCACAGCTCTGTACCCAGAGCAGGTGACGGATTCAAGTAGCAAATTTCAGTTCCCAGGCAACCTTCACTCTTGCACCACGATGGGTCCCTTTGCTACATAACGTGAGACCAGACCGCTCCATGTGACCAAGTTCTCCTCCCTCTGACACCAGGGCCTCAGACGGAAACATTGTGCGTGGCACACTCGTTGGACAGCCCATTAGGCTACATCATGCAAAGTCAGGAGAGCGTTAGGTAATTTACACCTATATCCTCATAAATATACACAGTAAATACGTGTGTGT